CATAAACTTTCAAATTCTGCACCGCTCTCAAAGTCACTTTCATTTTTTACGTTAAGTTATTATAAAACCCTTTGAACAACACATTATCATCAGTTTTGTGACGTAAACCAGGCTATTGTGACGTCTACTTCTCTCGGAAGTTTTCGTTCAACGAAAGACTTGGAGAGATTTGGGGGACACCAACAAAATGATGTGTTTTGTTGAATTTAGCACCCAAAACACTGCTGTTTTCATGTGATAGGAACAAAGTAATTTGTCCTCATCATTTGAAGCATTCATTGAGTACACCAACAGAGGAAAAGAGATTCTCCATTCTGCGTTTTCATTTCTAAATAGCTTATGTCTCAATGCTGCAAAGTGACACCTACTTTTGATAATTTGATGGGCAACCTTAGGCTTGGGCCACCAAATTATCTTTTAATCCATTTGGTGGGAAATGGAGGCCAAATTTACTAGAACAAGAGGCCCATGGGCCACATCAATCACCCAAATAGCTTTGACCATGCTGTTCTTTACCAGATTTCCCCCTTGTAATACATACTGTGACCCGTCAGGTCATAATTTGAATAATTTACAATTCACACTTCCCCAGGATGCTTTTGCATAAGTTTCAGCTTTTCTGGCCAAGTAGATCTTAAGAAGATTTTTAAAGATTTTTCAATATATACTTTTGTTGGGTTCCCTATTGTGGCCCTGTCCTACCCAAGGATTATGATTTGAACAGTTTATAATCTACACTAACCGAGGGTGCTTTCAAATAAGTTTAAGCTTTTCTGGCACAGCAGTTCTTGAGAAGAAAATTTCTGAAGATTTTTCAAATATAGTTCGATGTAAAACTTGGATTCCAAATTGTGGCCTGCCCTACCCCTGGGGTCAGAATTTGAACAATTTAAAATCTACACTACTACGGGATGCTTTCACATAAGTTTCAGCTTTTCTGGCCCAGTGTTTCTTGAGAAGATTATTCCTATATATTTTAACGAAAACCTGGGTTCCCTATTGCAGCCCCGCCCTACCCTCGGGGCTCATGATTTGAACAATTTAGAATCTACACTACGCCCAGGATGCTTCTACATAAATGCCAGCTTTTCTGGTCCAGAAGATTTATAAAGATTTTCCCTATATTAGTTCAATGTAAAACTTGGATTCCAATTTGTGGCCAGAAAAGCTTAAACTTATGTGGAAGCATCCTGGGGTAGATTAGATTCTAAATTGTTAAAACCATGACGCCGAGGGTAGGACGGGACCGCAATAGGCAAATCCAAGATTTACAAAGAAATATATAGGAAAAATCTTTAAAAATCATCTTCTCAAGAACTACTGGGCCAGAAAAGCTGAAACTTATGTAGAAGCATCCTGGGGTTTTGTAGATTCAAAATTCTATAAACCATGACCCCAGAGAGTAGGGCGGGGCCTCAATAGGGAATCCTAGTATACATTGAAATATATAGGAAAAATCATTAAAAATCTTCTTCTCATTGGGCCAGAACAGCTGAAACTTATGTGAAAGCATCCTAGGGTAGTGTAGATTCTAAATATGACCCCCGGGGATAGGATGGGCCGCAATAGGAAATCCAAGTTTTACATTAAAATATAAAGGAAAAATCTTCTCAAGAACTGCTGGGCCAGGAAAGCTGAAACTTACCTGGACGCAATGTGAGCTGTATTCTTTATTTACTGGGAAAACTTTTCCAGATAAAATATTATGTTTAAAATGTGCAAATAAAAAAAAGTTGCATTTAAAGAAACATTAAAAAGTAAGACATTTTTAAGAAAACCGGGGCTAAAATTAATATATTGAATGTCTAGTCTGATTTGTTACGCCTTGAATTTTTGACGTTTTTACGCTTAAATAACATATGCAATAACGTCAGAAAAGTATATTTTGACGTTACAAAATCAGCCCCAATTCTGTGCGCGACGTCATCCTGGGTAGCGTAGATTCTAAATTGTCCAAATTTAAACCCATTGAGGTAGGGTGGGGTCAGAATAATTATTACAAGGGGACATCTGGTAAAGAAGAGCAATTGCCAAATTTAATCAGGTAGGCAATGTGACTCATGAGTCTCTTGTTTGATATTTTTTTTCTATTAATGTATCTTTAATTGTTTGCTGTTTTTCATTAGATTTTGAAAGATGGTCCTATTTCCTATCAAGGATATGTAAAAAATTGTTTGGCCCTGCCCTACCCCAGTGGTAATTTTTTTTTAACCAACTTCAATGTAAAATACCCGAGATGCTTCCATCATCAAATGAGTAATCAAGGCTTTATTGTCTTTCTGTCAGAGTAATATATTTAAAGTTTTATTCTTCATATATCCAAGTGTTGCACATCTTGGAGCAACCTAAACTCGGGATCATCTTTTATAACACATTTGAGTAGATCTACACTATATCAGCAAGCTTTCACTTAGGTTCTTTTATGGCCTAAATAAATTTAAGATGAGGAAAGACCAAGTCCATACGTCTTTGGTGCATTGAGCAAATTGTGACGCCCAAGCGCCCCCCCCTAAAACATACCTAAGTCTGAGAATTTTCTAAAGTTGGAGAATTTTCTCACTCTAATTCTCAGACTCAACTACCGCCATAAAAAAGTTTATTAATGATGAAAAAAAAATCCCAGAATCATATTTAATCTCAAAACAAAAAAGTAACATAAATGTATAATGAATGAGACAGAAAGTTAAAATTCACAATGAGGGTAAAAGCACCATTTTTAAGTCTTGATATGTAAGCTAGTCACCGTGTTCACAATGTAAAGTGTACACAATTCATGTGCATTTCATATATATTTTGATGCTTATGGCACGCCAAATTCACAAAAATGAGATAATCATAGTTTCACAATCGATAACTAAGTTTATCGGTTGTAAACTATAGTTTACGGACTGTAAACTATAGTTAACAATGTTAATCTATATTTTACATCTGTAAACCATAGTTAACGCGATAATCTATGTTTCACAACGGTAAACTATACTTAACACCGAAAACAATCATTTGCGATTGCAAAACATAGATTATCTGATAAATACAGTTTCACGATTTGTAAACTAAAGTTTACAATCCGTTAACTATAGTTAACAATCTGATAAATATAGTTTCACAATTTGTGAAACTATGATGAACAACTCTTAACTATACTCGAGTAGTTTACGATTGTAAACTATAGTTTACAAACGTGAATCTATGTTTATCAACAAAATCTACTGTTAACGCTTTATTACAGACAGATAAACTTAAATTAACACTCGTAAACTATAGTTAACAACAGTTAAATATAGTTTTACTGATGAAAACTATACTTAACAAATCGTTAACTATAGTTTACGGTTTGTAAACTATAGTTTACAGTCGATAAACCTAGTTTATCAATTGTGAAATTATGATTTGCTCATTTTTGTGAATTTGGCGTGCGATATGTTCTTTACTTCGTTTTTAACGTTGTTAACTATAGTTTACAGTCCGTAAACTATAGTTTACAACCGATAAACCTAGTTTATCGATTGTGAAACTATGATTATCTCATTTTTGTGAATTTGGCGTGCCATAGATGCTTTACACATTTGTTGTTATCGACACTCTCTAAATGAAATATTACGCATATTCATGAAATACCGGATTCACATATTTACAATTAACACAATGTTGGTACCATAAAACAGGCATTTAAAAAGAGAATAATAACACATTGAAAAAATAAATAAAAATCATTAAGTAACACTCGAAGTTAATACTATTATACATGTATTAAATATAACGATTTTTGATAAAATTAAACAATTGTCATTTCTTAACTAGTCACCCTGAGATATTTGAGAAAATACATTCACAATGTCCTACATGTCCTAGTTACAAAGCCTTATATGTACAGTATATCGATTATATATGTTGTTATCCCCAACTGCTGTATCATCATTAATCTTTTGTTAGTAGAGCTCTACTATCAATTTTGAATTTCTTCTTGTATGTTTTTTTTCTTTACTTGTATGCCCTGATGACCCCCAAATTGGTATTAATAAATCTTATCTTACACTTTAACTTATGCTTCATCAGACAAGTATTTGTAAATGTTTATTTTCGTACCCTCTGATTTTCGATCAGAATGCCCAATAAAGAGAGTTTCCTTTCCGTCAGTACACAAGGCACGAGGAGAAATTAATGCTGATTTATCTAGAACAAAGTCCAGGAGCTTCAAAAAATTTCCATTTTTGTTAAGAATGCAGATGGCATTTGATCTATAATCAGAGACAAGTATGTGATCATATTTGTTTATGCATACTCCAGAGGGATAGAAGGAGCTTGGGTTTTGTCCTCTGTAAGTGAATTTGAGGTGGCACTTCTTATTTAGTCCTACAAGGACCCGCACTTTTGCATCAATCACGTACAATTCTCCTTCTTTGCTTTCTACCATTCCACTCGGAAGTTGAAACAGATCTTTTCCATTAATATTTTTCACTTCTCTGTTTTCATCTTCGGTACTGTCATACCAGGAAATTTTTGCTTCGTTGTCTTTTGTCAGGCCTAAGAGTATTCTCTCCTCAATTTGTGATGAGCAAATACAAGTTGGTTTCCAGACACCGGTTTCTATAAATGGAGAAGACAAAGTACAGCTGGATTTCTTGTAAATCACTTTGTCCTTTATATTGGCATAAACCAGGTCTCCACGTTTTGTTACCACGTGGCCGGTTATGGAACCATTGCCCTCTACGTGCACTTGGTGAAGAACGGTACCCTGCATATTGATATGGTAGAAATGATTTAGATCATCACTTATCCATAAAGTGTTGTTTGCTGCCAATGAAATATGAGCAATTATCCTCAGACTTGGCACATTAATCGTTGCAGTTCTAACAACATTTGGTTGTCCAGTTTGACACGCAGGGGTATTACCTGGAAGAACAATGGGAAAATTAAATCTGCTGAAAGACAATTTAGTTAAATTTGTAAGAATTGCAAAACCAACCAAACCCTACCTTGTATTTCAATGTTGGGTTCCCTTGAAGATGCAAAGAAGCTCAAATTCCAGAAGTTTGACCAGGAGTTAGTGTCTGCAATGAAATCGTATACCGTTGGTACAGTGAGTTTTCCACAGAAAAAAAAAGAATATATGTATCACTGTTTATGATTTTTTTTTTAAATATATGAAATATTTGCTGTAAAATACATATTGCTTACTTTCATGCACGTCCAGATGAACTTTGTTACTTTTTCCCTTTCCAAGGACATTGACTGCTAAAAAACGATAGTAACCACTGTCTGTCGGTTTTGTTGGATTTATATGCAAATAAATGTGTCTTTTATCTATTTCAAACTTATATCTTTCATTTGGCAAGATTATGTCTTCAAAATTTCCAACTTCGTTTTTGCAATGTTGCCATTTTGTTTGAAATGGTAATGGAATTGAGTTCAGGTCCCCCCAAATTGTAAAATTTTCTCCTGCACAAGCAACGAATTTTCTTTTTTTCAGCTTTGGATGAGGTTTTTCTGAAGAAAAAAAAAATTAAAAATAAAAAGCAAATTATATGCAGTCATACAGTGGGCAGATATTGTAGGGACGAAGCATATGCGCACAGGTAAATATAAAGCAAACAAACTATAGACACTATGCCTTGTCGCAATCATTACCACACTGTGCACTACAATACCTCTTTCTTTTCCCAAACATGCCTATTAATTACTGAATAAACAAGAAAAAGTGTCACTGAATCATTATTAAAACATCTTCGGTTAACAAGTGAAAATCTTCATTGAAAGCAGTTGGAATATTTGACAGAAACTATATTTTGAAATACTTTCCTTTATATGCATGCCTCCTGAATCAATTTCGTATCTTTTACAGGTCGGCATTTGATTTGATCACATTTTTTTATTGTTTCGATGGACTTTTTTACTTTTTGGGTTAGGGTAAGCTTCATATTTGATTTTTAAAACACGCTAGAATTTTTTCCCATCAATACCAGAATCAAAGATATTGACAGAGCAAGATTAACTAGTATGTGAATTTCAATCATGATAGAGAGTAAATCCTCGACAAAACAGTGAGGTAAAATACAAAGACATATCATTATCTCGTTGCTGAGGTCCACTTATTTAAATCTATTTATTTAATCTGAAATCTTAATCCGATTTCATTTAGAAGACGTAACAAAAACAGACCCTGACGCAATTTCATGACTGATCGACAGCCACCGGACAACCAAATAAAAAATAAATTAAAGTCTTGGTGTGAGAAAAACATAACTACCTCCACGAACGCGAACCTCCACTGCATTACTTGCAATATGACAGCAGTCATATCGGCACATAAGCCTGTATGATGAAGCATCGTTGTAGTCTGCAGAATCAATGTCGAGGACAACATTTGGCGGAGAGTTATTGATGTGGAATCTAGAGTCATCAGTTGAAAATGTCTCAAACTTCCCGCTATCACTGGAATATTTTTGCAACTCTAGGCTTACAATCTGATACTTCCCTTTCACACGTCCATGGAGCCTAATACGCTCGCCAAATATTGCTATGTAGGGGGTTATGCGATCATTGAGTTTGATAAAAGATTTTTCTAAAAAAAAGAAGATATATTTACACATCATAAGGTAAGGCGTTTTTTTAAAACTTGGCGTACAATCTATTTTTGATAACAAAATTCATTTACTAACTTTCACTAATTTTTAAACAAACTGGGTTACTAATTCTCTCTCCAAGTGCATTAACCGCCCTCAAACGGTAAAAACCACTGTCCGTCACATTTGTTTGGTAAATAACAAATTCATGCTTTTTGTCCTTCGATATTCGATATCTTTCTTCGCTAGCACTGATGTCCTTGAAAGTGCCATTTTCTTCCTTACAGTACTGCCAGGTTACTGATGAGGGTGAGGGGACTGAACTGACGTCAGCGTAGATTGCTATCTCAGTGTTTATATCAGCTTTCATTTTCTCGCAAGTTAGCTTAACTTTTGGTTTATCTGGATATTTTAAAAAAAATTAAGAAAAGATGCATATATATTTGACAATGATTCAAGCATATTTTTATCAATAACCAAGGCACTAGGGTCAATATATTGTAACCTTAGTATATTGTTAAATATCGTTAGCAATATATTTATGATGTTCAATTATGTTTTTGTTGGGGGGGGGGGGGGGTTATGGGGTTTATTTCACACATGCATACAGTATCTCCTTTAAAATTCAGTATATATATTTCATTATTGAAATATAGATTAAAGAATGCTTTTCATTTCTTAAGAAAGCATTACCTCCACGAACTAGAACTTTTACTTCATTGCTTGCAATTTGTCCTCCATCAAAATGGCAAATAGCCCTATATGTTGATCCATCTGCGTAATCTATCTCTTTGAGCAAAAGGCGGGGGTTTTCAGGATTGACGCTGCTATCCAAGAACTTCAGATTGTCAATCAAAATTGTTTCAAACTGCAAGGTACCATTTAAGGATTGTTTTTGCCAATCAATTCTCAGTATTCTTTGTTTCGTTTTTACACAACCATTGAAACATACGCTGTCACCAAATATTGCTTCTAAAACAGCGATGTCATTGTTCACTGTGATTGATGAATGTTCTAAAATAGTCAAATGTGTTTCGTGAAAATGTTCATAAAACCAATTATTTAGACTACACAAGACAAATATTTACAGAAAATAGATACAAAATCCTATCGCAGATATTAGTACCTACCTAAATCTGAAGAATGGATATCATTTTTGATTAAAGGATCACTTGGAAAAGTTTCATCCTCACCATCTATTTCTATATCCTGTATTTCACTTTCTGATTAAAAAAAAGAAAGGAACATTGTAAGCAAAATTCAAACATGTGCAACCTACGCTGATATCGTGTAGATACAAAGCATGATCAATTTATCATACAGAAAATTTGAGAAAATATTAACTTCAAATCTGTGTCTAAGCACCTTTAAATAATTTTGTCTATACTCGAAAATAAACACTTGCACTAACCTTTATTGACGTTTTGTTGGAGGTTAATGGAGTACTCGTTTTCAAAAGAGTCCAATTTCTTTTCACTTTCATCGAGTGTCAATTCATTTTTTGTATAGGAATCCACCATGGTATTAACTGTGTGTTTTTCGACAGTTGAATCACTTTGCAATGAATCGGAAGAGTCGGATGAATTTGTTGGTACACTGCTATTTTGTTCTGCTCCTGTAGGAATATATACATGTATTCACAAAAATGTAACATAATTAGGCTGGTATTTATTTTTATTGGAGAGAGTTTGCCAGGTTTTTAGTATTAGAAAATTTTACGCGAAAAATAGGGTGTAAATCTTTACTTATTAGAAAATAAATTAATGTACTTCATTTTCATTGCATTTATATGTAGTCATCATGAGTACAAAATTCATAAAGAGGCCTTACTTTTTTTTTTATATACTTTTTAATCAAATTTATAGCATGTCAAACGTTGCAATGTTTAATCATTTCCATATATATTGTACAAATTTCCATCTGTATTGTAAAATTTTTCTTTAAAATTGTGTAAATTTTCATTTGTATTGTAAAACTTTCCATTTGATTTTTCACTTAGATTAAAAGCAATTATTCGTATTCTATGTTTTCCATAAATTTTGTATTGTAAAGAGAATAATTTCTATTCCATATTTTTTCATCTGTATTCTATATTTTCCATTTGCATTATATGTTTTTTTCATTTATAATGTATCTGAGGAAATGTTTATTTCGTTACGAAAATTTTTATTGGTATGATTTTATTTTTATAGACCTAGTGTTTAAAACAAGCAAGTTATGTTTCGAGTGCCCAACACAAACTGGGACTGTTTGAGGTGTATCGGGATGGGTGGGGTGTTTTGTCAAATCAAATTATTTAATTTCATGCCATCACAAATAAGAATACCTAATACCAAGATGACTACATCCAAGTAGAAAAAAATTGCGAAAACTCAAATCCAAGAACTCCTGGAGAGTGGGAGGGTAAATTTGAGCACCTAGAACATCTCACTTGCTTTCAACACGATACAGGCTACAAAGCAAATTTTCGTAACAAAACAAATAAGCAATCCTCTGAAAAAATTATTCAATACAAATAAGAAATTTACAATGCAAATAATAAACTTTACACAACAAATGGAAAATATAGATGCATACAAAGAACATAAAATTGAAATGAAAGACTATAGAATACAAATTTTAAAAGATGGATAAATTATATACAAATGTTACACAATACAAATGGAAAATTTTATAACATAAATAGAAGATTATAATATAAATAATGCAAATGAAAAATTATACAAAACAAATAAAAATTAAAGTATACAAATGGAAATTTTTACAATGCAAATGGAAAAGTTCTAATTCTGCAAAGTATTACATATGCCGTACAATTTAAAGACCACAGTAATATTTTTTCCATAGAGAAAAATTATATGACACAAGTTTAAGCTGATTGGTAGTTGATATTTTCAAATTTTGTTTGAAATAACGATGGGTTTACTGCTCCGGAATATCAAAATATGACTTGATAATTTTCCTTTCTTTTGCAGATTTATCATTGGTAAAATATGGATCAATGAAAAGTATCCCATATCAAATATTTAATGCTTATATTATTTTTTCTCTCTTAATGCGTTGTGACGTGAAGAGTTAAAAAATGCAAATGAATACTGCGAGAGAGACAAAGAATGACAAATTATTCTTAAATGTACAATTATTTCGTTTTGCAAAAAGTGTGCTAGGATATACAGTGTATTTGCTTTTGATTAAACTGAGCCCCCCTTAAAACAACATATCTGTTTTGTAGAGTAATGAAAATATATGGTGTATCAACAGTGTATTCTATAGAGCAATAAAAAGGCTTCGTGTATGTTAACAGAGTTTTGAATGTTGTAAAGGACAAGATAGGGTAAGACCAGTATTTGGCCCCCGATTTTGGGTGTCTTTCAGAATGATCAAACAGTTTATCCATAAAAACCTGTTGTCACTCCTGCCACAAATAAGTATTGGTTCTAACGATTTAGAACATATAGAGGCTACAGAGAGGTCAGGAAATAGGTCAATTTTCGAAAGTTCTCATTTTTATGTAAATTTTCGTCGATTTCATAGCACATTTTGTTTCGGAAAACATAGAGCACACGCTTGCCTATCTACCAAAATGTATTTTATACACTAATATCAGATGCAGTTTATGTGTAAAAAATCTCAAATAGGCAAGCTATATTAATTGTGCTCTATGTTTTCCGAAGCGAAAAGTATCTCAAATATGATGAAATTCCACCAGAATTGAGGAAATTCAGGAAAATGTCTTACTTCTGCACTCTCTTGTGGCTTGCATGTGAGCTTTGAATCCAAATTGGTGCATGTTTTAAAGTAAGAATCATTTTTACTTAACTACAAACTATCACAATTTTACCAGTGTTCTGTTTTTCTGTTCGGCCGATACCCTATCCTGTCCTTTTCGAGAATTTTATAATAAAAATGTAAATATGGTTAATAATGTACAAAAATTGTTACATTTCATAAACTTACTTTGCTGTCTTCTCTTACTTTGCCGTCTTCTTTTGAGACAGAAGTACAGCCCTAAAATACCAAGCAGTAAAGGTGCCATAAGCACGCCTATTGTGACGGCTATTACAGTTTCAAGGTTGATATTACTTATTGGAGTCTCTGTTGTAAAATTGTGAAGAGATTCATTGCTATCTGTTGCTCCCTCTGTTGTGGAAGTGCTGCAATAAAAAAAAAACACAAGAAAATCTTTTTAAGTATTCACAAACTTTGAGCTCAATAGTTCTCAAAAATATGAAAAAAATAAAAAAGGGAGAGGCATTTTTAATGTTTTCGGTTTATTTGTACATGTATATTCTAGGATACTCTAAAAATACCTTTTGGGATTTGATGTATTTTATTATTTATTTTTGTTTGTATCTTCTCTACTTATATCAAAAGGGAATTAATTTGAAATAGCTTGAATAATATGTATTCTTTTTCGAGATAGAAATGAATTTTTCATAGTCTTCAATTGCAATCCTTGTATTGCATAAAATAAACGCATTTTTTCAAATAAAAAAAAAAACCAAATACATGTATACTATATGAAAACAGATGGACAACAAACATGAATTAAGGTAGGTAATTATTTGATATGTATATACACTGTACACAATTCATTGCTGTCAGTAAAAAATATAAATTTTTTAAATACTTTTTCTTTTAAACGCTTTTTAAGTTGTTTTAGTCATATGAACTTCTCCATTATTGACTGATAATATATTGTTTAACGTCCCATTCGAGAAATTTTTACTCGAGACGCCACCACTTGCTGGTGGAAAGCTGCAAATTTTGTCCTATAGTCGGCACTCGGGGCTATTGAGCAGGGAGGGATCTTTTCCATGACAGCACCTACTGCGACACAAGACCTCAGTTTATACGGTCTCATCCGAAGGACCGTTCTCCACGTCCCACAGTGGGATTCGAACCCGCGACGTAAGGTTCAACTCCTTACTTCGCGACTCTAGAGAAGACGCTATGCGTTTTTATTTTTATTGTTAACAACTCTTTTAAAGTTTAATGATAATTTCAAAGCTTTTCTATGCATGCTTATCTACATGAAAGCAAGAAAATATAATAAGACATTGGTCACTTGAATTTTTTATTTAAGCATTCCTTAATGAGAACGTCACACTGGGTGTTAAGTACTAAGGTAATATCTGATATGCATTGTTGAATGGAATGAGCAGAAAAATACATTACGTTGAAGTAGGCTTGCAGAATTTATCCTCTAGAAAGCACCTTTTATTTGGATCTATCTTCAAACAAGCTTGATCTAGGAATAAAACAAGATGATATCCCTTACTGTATATTAACAAGAGATGTGAAGCAGTGCCAAGATTTGAATGCTAATAAAGAGATGGTTTCTGTGTTCTTTTTTAAAACGTAAGTCAATTTATATAATATCAAAATAAAACCACTTGAATGCAATGCATTGAATTACCGATTTTATGCATATGTTAGCTCAATATTTCCCTCTTGTAAGTAGTTGTATATTGACATACTTCTGCAAGAACTTTAAGTTGTTTGTGTCGATTTGTCAGATAGTTATGTGGACTTGTAACTTATTTGGAAGTTAATAGTTGGACAGGGAAATATGGTCATGTTTAGTTTTTGCAACCCAGTTGAAGAAATTTTTTCTGACCAATGGTTAATGAAATCTTACAAGTCAACATATAAAGCTATCAAGTCGACTTAACATTCTAGCAAGTTTTTATAATTATCTGAAATGTCGGCATACCAACTGACAAGTCAAAAAAATATCTGTGAAATTGACATTATTAAATGATATGTCAACAACGCAACTGACTGGTCGAATTCAGAAAATTATGTGGACTTGTCAAATAAATATGACGACTTGTAAGATATTATGTCGAGTTGTTGGGTGTTCATGTCTTCTTATTACCAGTTTATGTTTGACTTCTTGGACACAGGTCGACATATCAGATATGATAATGATGATGATAGGTAAAAATACTATCAGTTAGAGACCATATAATACGCTCTCTATAACAAGATATGTAGTTCCTATTATGAAATATTACATCAACTTTATACGGCAAGTTGATGTAAATATATTCATGCCTCCTCCTTCCTTTATCTCAACATTACATAAACACTACATATGTTGAAATTGTAATTTATTGATGAAATAAATCTTGATCAACAATCCAAACATGTAATAAACACCTGACAAATCGACATGAACATCTGACAACTACGAGTAGTGGCAGAAATATACTTCTATGATCTATATAGTTGTAAAATCAAAATATTAGATTTTTTTAATATACTGTAAAATCACATATTTTTGTGGGGGCAAATTTTCGTGGTTTGAGGAAAATCTCTTGGTTCGTGGAGATTTGATTTCGTGGATCAAGAATCAAATTAATGAGTACCTATGTATGTAACATTTCACATTTCGTGATTGACATGAATTCGTGGGTCTCATCATACCTCAAAAACACCAAAAATTAAACCCCACGAAAATTTGTGATTTCACAGTAATTTGTTTCTTTGGCAATAAACTTACATAGGTAGATTTTTTCACTGAGGTAAGAATCACTTGGACATCCTACTATGAATGCAGAACAGTTTACATAGTTTAGATATCCTTCGCCACCTAACTCTAAGCAGTTCCCTGAGAAAAAAAACATTTATCGCGTTTTACATTGCATTGTTTTGAGAAAAAGTACTTGTATAACATTATTTTCTTTTACCTGTTTGTATTTGTTATAACCTAGCTATATTGATTAAGCATACATGTAGAAATAAGTGATCTTTCTAATGAACGTGCTACATTGTATTTAGATTAAGATTCTGTGACTTTAGGCAAGAAGACAAGTTTAGTTACGAATGTTGCCAAACATGGCATTCCCACTTTAAGGGATATCCTTTTTTTAAAACACAGACAGACCTTATTTAGATAAAAATTAATTAAAATTTGTTTTTATAGTAGGGGATATATTTCGGTTTTTGAAAGATATACCATTTTCCGAATAATAGAATGATTTGCCTCACATTGGCATTTTCTAAAACCAGACGTAATGGTGCTTGTCTATTTAAAGCTTAATGCATTGGATAACACTCCATGCGTACGTTTTCTTCTGTTCTTCATGTATTTTATGTATTTTAAGTACCAAAATTTAACAAAAGTAATATACCAGGCTCTGTCCTTGGGCTTATTCTATCATAGCAAAATTCCACAACCATATCCCTCTTAGCTGACGACAGACAGTAATAGTGGTTCGCTGATGTGTCGTTACCAATAGAACAGTTTAGTCGTTTGGCGGCAGCTAACCAACTACTTTCATTTTCTGGACAATTCTGTGCCTTGAACACGAGTATCCCAGGTCTATAATCCGGGAGTGGGTTCTAGAAGGAAAATATTTTTTCATGAAAATGGATAAGCATTAGTCATGCAGAAGATTATTAAATACATGTAGTTTAACATTTTGTGAATAGGTAGCGTAATGTACTACACACATACATACATATATATATATATATATATATATATATATATATATATATATATATATATATATATATAAATATATATATATATATATATATATATATATATATATATATATATATATATATATATATATATATATATATATATATAAAGGATCAGAAGGGCTAAATTCGTCCGTTGTTTGTCTTTGATGTTTTCATTATTCTCGCAGACTTTTAAATTTGTATCGTATTCTTCAAGATTTCTATTCTTATTTCAATCAAACTTGCCATTTAGCATCTTTGAAAAAAGAGGGTACAAGATTCTCTCTGTTGGCGGAGAAAATGATAAAAAAAAATAATAATTAAGAAATATGAAAGCTTAAGAACATCTTTTAAATAACTCATACGAAAAAAAAAAGTTTTTAATGTGTACATAATAGTTTGTTCAAATCATGGCCCCTGATGGAAAGGAAACCGCAATTTAAAAGTTTTGAAGTGTGGCAATTTTGTGATATGGCTGTCATGGCCATTAGGGCCAAATTCATTTTTCATATTTCTTTAATGTGACCGACCCACAATAGCTTCAGATTTAACAGAATTGATACTCCGTATATTTAGACATATTTCTCATGTTGAAGTATCGATACATGAAAACGGAACGTGTTCTAATTTATAACCTTTTCCTATACTTGAGGAGCTATTCCCCTTTAATTTTACTCAATTTTACTCAATGAAAATCAATTCTAAAAAACCTATCTAGTAGAAAATAGTTTTCGTCGTCTTCTCTATTTCTATTAATCAAATAAATTCAACTTTGCACCAAAGCATTTTTGATATCCTTGGTATTTTTTTTTTAATTTTCAAACATTTGCTTCTTTCTACAAACTTAGATGATTAGGCCTAATTACTGCTTACTAGGTATTTGTTTTATTCTCTCGGTATTTTCTTTTTCAACAGTTTTGAAATAATTGATGTTTTATACACGGTTGATATTCAAAGATAGAAAGTAAGGGCAGGATACCTTAAGATGTGAATAGAATCAGATCATAACGAACGGTAATCAAAACTGAAAAGTCCATTTAAACAATATAAATAGGGAGCAGAGCAAACAAGGACCTCTAAAACATCTGAGGTGGGATCAGGTGCCATGGAGGAGTAAGCATCATCTGTCGGTCATCATACTCTCCGGGTGTATTCGATTAAGCGACATGGGTTACACGAGTCACTAGAGTTGTAAATAAAACAACCTATCTTCGACATGGGTGATCAACTCGTGATACGCGAGTATACTCCCCAGTTTACCTGGAGTAACAGGTAAAAGAAATGGCGGGAAGTGAAGACGCATTGTTAATGCGAAAACTGTTTCTGCATAAATTTGTCAGTGTTTGTATTAGAAATTTACAACGTCAATGAAAAATGTCTGCATTATAATTTTGACATCCCTCCTTTTTTTTTTTTTTTTTAGTTTTTATGTCAACTTCTTTAAATTACTGTTGTGTAATCATTGACAGTTTATGTATTTTTTTTAAATAAAGAAGTTTATCCATTTTTTTTTTAAATCTGCCTATAATTGTTGCCCGAACCCCTGGGACCTGTTTTACAAAAGAACTTACGACTAAAACTAAAAACTTATGTTGATTATAAATTTTTGAAAATTAACTGTTTTGGAAATTGTTACCATAGATACATTCTAAATTCTTTTCAAGAAGAATAAAATTGCAGAATTAAATTTTGGTCTTGGGTGTAAGTTCTTTTGTAAAACGGGCCCCTTGATTAAAATGTCTAAAAGATGCATATTGATTCACTAATAAAATTTAACAATCGCAGCATAGATATGTCGTGTTAATTACCTTATGAAGTTAAATCATTATTATTAATAATTCAGTTTAAGATAATTACAGGATCAAATGTGATAGCAATTACAGTTACATGCATATATTACAATGTAATCTTTATAAATATGGAGGTCGGGTCCCCAGAACCAACCGATTCTTGTTTACAATAAGTGTTATAAGTATATAGAAATTACCTTTTCAGCCTTTAATTACAATTGTAATAATTATTGAACAATTTCATGCGTATTTTTTCATAAATAATTTTAGTTGAAAAATTGATCATTATTTTTACAGACTCAAAATTAAAATCCACAGCCATCTAAGACCATGAAATAAACACATTAGCTCAAGTTTTCTTTCCAACCGGCGTCACATTTTTTGGTAAAAGTACCGGGGATATTTGTCTCTCACATCCTGTGACTAACACTATATTAATGAAAAATGTCAGCTATGGTACTACATTGACCAATTATTATACCCCATGCAAAATGTTACGGGGGAGAGAATACAGGCACGTAGCAGCTGGTGGAAGCGCTCCCCACACTTTCCCCCCCAAACATCTCTTTACTTTTAAAAAATCTTCGTTGAAAGACCACCGATAGCTTCCTCTCCCTTTTCGTTACAGTAAAGCCAAGCATGGGTGAAGTCGTCTTGTATGAATAAAATTTGATGCTGAAGGAAGTGGGACCTACATCCTCCACCTCTAACTAAATAGGAGTTTCGGTTTTTTTCTCTGGCTTGCCCCCCCCCTCCCCTTTTAAAAACGATGGTACGTCACAATAATTTTTAATACTATTGACATGTATGTAAGTGAAGACATTCTTATTCTACTTTGTTTTTTGTTTAAAAAATATTGCAAGGATAAATAATCTATAAAATACATTTTGCTGAACAATTAGTTTCGGCTTTGAGGTCTTGTATTTAATTATCTGCTATTCTTTATTTGATTATTGGATATTGTTTGTTAATCAATTGTTTGTCCTGAACAAACCACATGTACAGGGAATATACTGTTTTTCCCCAACATACTTATACAAACACTAAGCAACACGAGATGTTTTATTTAGATCACTAGAGTTCAATCAGTGAGCATGCGCATATTTAACACTAGTGCGACACGGGTTGTCTTAATCGAATACACTCTCCTTGTTTTCATTATCCAGATCGGGCTAACAGAAAATTCCCTGAACAGTTTAGCAGTTTAACAGTTAAGCCAATGCAGTAATAGCATAAAAAACGTCAGTCAGCTTAATGATAGAATGTATTTGCAGAAAAGGTCATGATGTATTGACCATAGATCATGCGAAATGATGATTTTAATCATAATTTTAATTATAATTGCATCATAAACTTTTTCGTCAAAAGCTTGTCTTGTTTTAGGAATCAATCGTTTGCAAAGCATGTTCTTGTGTTTCGAATCAACTGCAGGTGATTATATATGGTAAACTGCTAATTAAAGGAAGTCGACGATAAAAAGCTTTGAAGCCACCACTTTTTGCATTAGTTTTGTTATTAGACTACCATGTTATTTCTGATAAAATTTCAAAATATGATGCGTCCAGCACAAATATATTTCTTTTATTTCGAGTTCAAAGAAATTTACTCGCATCAAATTAACATGGGAATGAAAATGAATATTGTTAACATATGAAGCATCGGCGATACATTTAAATGTTGAATAGAAGGCCATAATAACAGACTTCTTTTTATGTAAAAGTCAGTTTTTGACTGAATTTCTTATTACATGAATTAACAAGAGGCCCAAGGGCCTTATAGGTCACCTGAGCATTATGCAACAACTTTCCGGTGCTTGAATTTGATTCATGTTTTAAGTTAGATGCTATGGCATTCACAATTTTGAAAGAGGCACCACTGATCATCATAACAATACACTTAGCAGTTGCTTTGTTTGGTTACTTAATATCCATAGGCAGGGTAGGGAACAAAAAATGCATTTCAACTAATCAGTAATATTCAGCAAAAATCAGTGCCCCTACTACACATGAACCCCTGACCCATAGGCCTAGATCCACACATTGCACAATTTTTGAAAAGGCATCCTTGCTTTTCAAAAATATTTGATTAATACCAAGGAGCAGATTTCAAACAATTCATTCATTTTCAGTATATAAGTACACCCCCCCCCCTCTCTATGGTACCCCTGACCCTGGGGCCTTGAAATTCACAATTCTGGCAGATTAGGGGCCTTGCTCATCATAACTATATAGGTAGTTCACCTGCATAATACCCAGGAGCAGAGAAGAAAATTTTCAAAGAATTCATGTATTTTCACTATATAATCAATAGAGCCCCGTCCTAACACCAGAACCCCTGACCCTGGGGCCATAAAATTCACAATTTTGGTAGAGGCACTCTTGCTCATCATAACTATGTACTTACTTAGTTTATTTAATCCCAGGAACAGAGAAGAAGATTTTCAAAGAATTCATGTATTTTCACTATATAATCAATAGATCCCCGCCCTAACGCCAGAACCCCTGACCCTGGGGCCATAAAATTCACAATTTTGGTAGAGGCATTCTTGCTCATCATAACTATGTATTTAGTTAGTTTATTTAATACCTATGAGAAGAGAAGACAATTTTCAAAGAATTCATGTATTTTCACTATATAATCGATAGAGCCTCCCCCCCCCCAACACCAGAAACCCTGATCCTGGGGCCATAAAATTCACAATTTTGGAAGAGGTACTCTTGCTCATCATAACTATGCACTTGGTTAGTTTATTTAATACCTATGAGCAGAGAAGAAGATTTTCACAGAATTCATGTATTTTCACTATATAATCAATAGAGCCCCGTCCTAACACCAGAATCCCTCACCCTGGGGCCATAAAATACACAATTTTGGTAGAGGCACTCTTGCTCATCATAACTATGTACTAACTTAGTTTATTTAATATCCAGGAACAGAGAAGAAGATTTTCAAAGAATTCATGTATTTTCACTATATAATCAATAGAGCCCCGTCCTAACACCAGAACCCCTAACCCTGGGGCCATAAAATTCACAATTTTGGTAGAGGCACTCTTGCTCATCATAACTATGTACTTACTTAGTTTATTTAATACCCAGGAACAGAGAAGAAGATTTTCAAAGAATTCATGTATTTTCACTATATAATCGATAGAGCCCCCCCCCCCCCAACACCAGAAACACTGACCCTGGGGCCATAAAATTCACAATTTTGGTAGAAGTACTCTTGCTCATCATAACTATGCACTTGGTTAGTTTATTTAATACCTATGAGCAGAGAAGAAGATTTTCACAGAATTCATGTATTTTCACTATATAATCAATAGAGCCCCGTCCTAACACCAGAACCCCTGACCCTGGGGCCATAAAACTCACAATTTTGGTAGAGGCACTCTTGCTCATCATAACTATGTACTTACTTAGTTTATTTAATATCCAGGAACAGAGAAGAAGCTTTTCAAAGAATTCATGTATTTTCACAATATAATCAATAGAGCCCCACCCTAACACCAGAACCTCTGACCCTGGGGCCATAAAATTAACAATTTTGGTAGAGGCATTCTTGCTCATCATAACTATGCACTTAGATAGCTTATTTAATACCCAAGAGCAGAGAAGAAGATTTTCAAAGAATTCATGTATTTTCACTATATAATCAATAGAGCCCCGCCCTAACATCAGAACCCCTGACCCTGGGGCCATAAAATTCACAATTTTGGTAGAGGCACTCTTGCTCATCATAACTATGTACTTAGTAGACTAGTAGACTTTTAAAGAAATTATGCATTTTCACTATATTCTTATTTAGCCCCGCCCTAGCACTAGAACCCCTGACCCCAGGGCCATGAATTTCACAATTTTGGTAGAGGACTCAATGCTGATTACAATCATGCAAACAGTTTGACTACTTAATGTCCAGGAGTAAAGAAGAAGATTTTTAAAGATTGCAATAATTTTAGTGGTTTTGGTCCCACCCCTCAGGCCCCAGGGGGGCAGGTATCATGAAATTCACAATTTTTGTTCCCCTTCACCCATAGATGCTTTGTGCAAAATTTGTTTGAAATTTGTTCAGTGGTTGCAGAGAAGAAGCTGAAAATGTTCAAATGTTAACGCACGATGCACGACGACGGACGAAAAGGAATAGCAATAGCTAGGTCACCTGAGTTTACTCAGGTTACCTAAAAATATAGTAAATCAGGTTTCTTTAGCGGGTTTGGGGCGTTTTGTTTGCTCGATTTTTTTTTCTTGGCTTGATCTCCAAGATTACATAGTTATTGTCAAATAGAAACTCCAGCATCTTTTTAAAGATTAAAAGATTTAAAAAATTGGAAATTTATAAGATGACACTCAGTATTGTATATGTCTTTTTGTAAATAATATAACTAACTAAAATTAGAGTACAAATACTCTTACTTACGTTTTATATAAAGAAAAATTAATGATGATTATAAATGTCTTTTTGTATTTTACGGTAAATAACGGTTGCAATTACTACATGCAATATTCTTAAGGTTTTGTCAAAGGTCAACATGTCCAAACATTTATTTTTACAATAACCTCAAAACTATGTGAGGTATAAAGTTAAAACTTTTACAGTTTATAAATTTTTCATTGATTAAACTATGAAAGTTTAGAAGTTTAAAAATAGAAAGTATCACTTGATAAAAAAAATTGAAAAAAATATTATTTGAGAAAAATTCTTCTTAAAATTGCATTAATTTTCAAAAATACACCTAATTAATTCCGAGCTCTAGGTGAAAACCATTATTGCAGATACAAAATATGTTTATCAATGAAGGGCAAGTTGAACTTGGATAGCCTCTGGAAAGTTGTTTTCCCTGTTTATTTTGTCCAAATGCTTAGACTTGAAAGTGAAAGTACATTGCAAAAGGCGGATTCTATAGGGGTCTTGTCTTTATACATGCCATGCTTTCAATAACAGCCCTTCAGAGACCATTCACATCCAACTTGCCCTTCAATGATAAACATATATTATTTCTACAATGATGGTTTTCACAAAAAAGACAGAATTAAGCAGGTGCATTTTTCTTTAATATGCACATTTTCTGATACAATTTTTTGTCAAAAAATATCTCTTTAAAGATATTTGTTATCAAGTGATACTTTTCTATCTATTAATCAATGATATATTTATTAACTGTAAACGTTTTGAATTTATACCAAACATAGTTTTAGAGCTATTGTAAAAATGATTTTTTAGACATGTTGACCTTTGATGAAACCTTAACTCGTTTTCAAACACGCAATTATTTATTTTTTTTATCTAATGTTGCAACCTTTACCTCCCTAAATAAGACCCAACAGGAAGCGATTTATTCATCAAGTTGATCCATAAAGATGCAAAAGGACCCCTAAAAAGGGTTTCCTTTGCTTTATTTTTGGAATTTTCAGACTTTAGACAACAAACACTGAATTTTATTTTTCTTTCACTTTTCAATAGACAACAAAACGCACGCTAGTACATTTTTTTTTCTAATTTTAAAGATATTTTATTCAAGAGTAGTTACAAATGACACAGTCACCTGTGATACACCTATACATAAAAACAAATATGCATCATGGTCATCAAAAAAGATATCTAATTCAAATTTATTCTAATTTTACACAAAAATACTCAGAAATTGATATAAATTAAAAAGGATTCTCGCGTTGCTTACTGACAACATCTATGCAGTCTTCGGAGCTCAAGGAGACGAAACTGTTCTAATTCCAATGGACAGTCAAAAACTTCTATATGAGAGGAAGAAAATAGCCTACCGTGGCCTTCTACTCAGCTTTCGGATATGCAAATGGTAACATGATGATTCCAACAAGAAAGGCAAATGTTCAATTTACAGTTTATTTACATACACAATGTTACACACAACACTTATGTTGTTAGACATCAATTACTCCATACATCAGTCCATCTGCATTTTTAAATAAACAGAACTGATACCCATCTGCATTAAACTCCAATGCAGAACAAAAGTGTTTGTTCTTTTCAAAGGTCTACTAGATATATCCCAGTGAGCTTGAAATACATACCACAGAGTTTTTCACATCTGTTTCATACTTGAATGCTGTACTGGCTGTCTTAAATGTATGTGGACGACAATTGCAAATGCCAACTAAATATGTGACAACGAGATGATTCAGCTTTTCCATCGTCAACTTTCCTTATTTACGTAGTAATATTCCGCTATTACCTACAAATGTTGATTTTGTCTCCCAACTTATTCGACACTCAAAAGCATGTTCCGAGTTCGATCAATTTTAAACCGAGGTAGGTTATTCACATACTAAAGAAGTTGATATTGTAGGGATTTCAGCAACCTCTTAAGTCAGCGAAATTTCGTAAATTCTTTGGTCGTTATAAACCTTTCTATAATCTCAGCCACGTAGCATCGTTTTTGAAAGTGTGTGTGTGGGGGGGGGGGGGGGGGGGGGGGAGCCAGAGAAAAAAATTACTTACTTGAAGAAGTAGACAAGCAAAAAAAAAAAAAAAGGAAATTGTTTTAACTTGAAAAACCTATTTCTGAGGTGGGTGGGTAGGTTAGAGGCCATTTTTTTTCAATGCCAACTTCTTTCAGTACCAATTTTTTGTATTCAACACTACATTTCCCTTAAATATCAATTTCCTGCAGTATAAAATGTGTGGGGGGGGGACCAGCCTTTCACTAAACATTTCCAATAATAAAAGTAAAGTTGAAAAAAAAAAGGTGTGAGGGGGGCAGCCTCCCCCCCCCCCCCCCCCCAAATTCATAGATTAACTTCAAGTCTGTGTCAAAGCACCTTTGAGAGCAATTAAGAACTAACCTGCATTGTGTAGATAGTAATTTTAAAATAAACTTCCCAGAGATTAAAATGACAATTTGATTTTAAAAAAATACCCCTATATACATCATAAGGGTCCCTTATTATGTATATATATATATAGGGGTATTTTTTGTTCGGAACGGTTATCTGGAGTTTTAACTCATTTTTTCAAATTGTATATTTGAAAAGGAAGTGTAATAAATATAAATTGTTTAAAAAAAAAATTTCGAGGTAGGGGTCATATATTGGGGGGGGGGGGGGGGGTCCTGCCCACAAGTACCTGTGAAGTAAATTGGACACATTCCTTCTAACGGAGCACCCGAATTATAGTATGTTATAAAATACCCCGGTAAGATGCTAACATG